TCGCTTACTCTAATTGGTTAGAAAACGGAAAGTGATCTGACCACTAAAACATTTCCATTACATTGAAGACATAAAAATGGATCAAGCAGCGCTTCGAAATTTTCCTTTCTATTACATAAAAAGACTTTTCTTAAATTTCGGCTACCACAGAATTACGAAAATGTTTTTCCTTGTGTACTTCATTTTATTTTCTGGCAGTTTCTTACTCGATATTTATTATCTGTTTCACCATTTTAGCATAGAATCGGTGGTGAGATATGGATGCATGATAATGATTTGCAGTTATGTATACATTTAAAAAAATCAGTATTTAGTAAGTAAGTAATGAATTTTTTGTAGATAATTGTCACAATGTATTTTGGCTATATTTTTGAAAAATACTTTACCAATGTAATATCTGAAGCCGAACCCATATTTTGGTCTCCCGAAATTTGTAGCTCCAAATTACAAAAAACTATGCAGAAATTTATATTTCAAGCAGATGTTCTTAATTACTTCACCATCTTCTGCTTTTGTATAGTGGGAGTTATCTTCTTCCCTGTTTGGGGAGATCAAAGCGAATGGTTTTTAAATGTTTGGACTTATAAAGAATATTTTGGTTCTTGGTGGTACATTCCGTACAATATGTTTTATTACAGTCTACCGCTGGCAGCCTTTACGTCCATTCGTCTGCCGTTTATAATGCTGTATTTTAGCTTACTAGTAAATCTACAAATACTTTTACTCAATCAAAAAATATTTGAAATTCCCAGTGGACATAAAGAATTGGATTCTGTAACGGCTGCTGACAATTTATCTTATCAAAAGACTGTTTTTCAAAGGATGCGTTTGTGCATTTCTCATGATGTAAAGGTAAAAAGGTGAATATAATTTCTAAAAAACAACAATCACTAACTTGTACAAAGACAAACTGTGATTTAAGACAAATCTAATTTTTGTCGAAAAAAAAAATATTATTTTGCAACACTAATATCTTATATTGTTTCTGTAGTGCTTCATCTACTATAAAGTACGTCGTCAATAACAACGTGTTTTATGAGTCTATAAAATACGCTGATGCCTATTTTTTGTCTAAATTAACATTTTGACATACTTCTTTATAATATTTTCTGAATTTTGGTGTTGCAAAAAATCTTGAAGACAACAATAGTTTTATAGTTTAAAAATTTCAACCCATATTAAATTCTCGCTCCCTCCGGTTCTTCGAATTTAAACTACGACCTCAACTGTCTATAATAGCTATTGGTTGCCACTTAAAAGATATACAGAAATAAGAAATTTCATAAAATTTTGTTCTTACATACCATAAAAATTGCCGAATATGACCATAAGAAAAACAACAGCTCACCATTTGGTCGGGTTTTAAACGTTTCCTCGCTTCATAATCTCTTTTAATTATGCTCTTAAACATAAATAAATATACTTATTTATCGTAAATTATTTATTTTAAATTTTTATTAAAACAGGTGGACCAAATCATATCTTCAGATAGTATTACAGGCAATGCCAGTATTCGTGTTCATAGGAGTACTGTGTACTATTTTTGTTTCCTTTTTCGTTTTCTATGTAAGTGATATATATAAGGTGAATATAAAGTATGGAACTAAACGGTTTTTTAAATCATTTGCCTTTAGAAAATAATAATTAATATAAACTAAAGTAATATAAAAAATTTGATTTTTGCATTGTGAGAACAAAATTTTGTTTTGTTTTTGAGTTATGATATTTTTTTGTCAAATTGCAATTTATGTAAAAATAAAAAAAAATATAAAGTAGATAGTTGCAATCCTTAGATCATAACCTTCATGACAAAATTGGTTATATAGTGGGTTGTCATTTAAAGAAATAGTTTTTTTTTTGTAGAACTCTAGAAAAATTTTATTCTTGATAAAACATCACATTTTTATAGTACTTTGTCATTCATCAATTAGTTTTTCCAAAAAATAAATAGTTTAAGCAAAAAACGTTTGGTTCCATTCTTTTTATTCACCTGGTATATTTTGTACTCATATGAAATACACGGTCTTTGTACTTTAATGTGCTTTTGCAGAGCTTTGCAAACACAAGCAACACTCTCAAGATTCGTCTAACTGTGGTCTTTATTTGTAATGTTCTTGCTGTTTACACGTTTCTAGAAGCATCACAAGGACTGAGCAATCAAGTGAATAACCATTTTATACGCATACTTATAATAATTAAATTAAATTTTTAGACCAGTCAAATGTTTGAGACATTAGCTGCTTCTCCTTGGTATTTATACAATAAAAGTAACAGAGGAGTTTTGTTAACTTTTATGACGAATACATTGGAACCAGTAACAGTCAGTTTCGCAGGGATTACTCTGGATTATAAGTTTGGTCTAACAGTAAGTTTGCAAATAATTAATTTGTGAGTGCTGTCATTTATTATTTTTTAGATAATAAGAACAAGTTTATCTTATGCTTTATTTCTCTACAATATACACTAACAGGACAAAATCTAAACAACTTATAAGTCAAAAATCATACTGCACTTTGTAGATATAGTAATATACTCGAAAAATCACTACTTGCATATTTAAGTAAATAACATTAGTGGATTTTTAATAATAGTAACTTTTTCCACAACCAGTCTATTATTAAGTCATAATACCACTACTACAGTGGCGGACACGGAATTTTGGACATCAAATTTATGTCAGTTTAAAAAATGTCAATGTAAGCCACGCTTTATTGTCATTGTCATTATGATTGACTGAATGTTTCATATTTTTTTATTCCATCTATTTCAAAAACACCATGTATAAAAGTCATTTAAAAATTACAAATTATTGTTTATTAGATGGTTATTAAACCATTTCATCGGTGTAACATTTTGTATTGTTTGTACTGTTTTCTGTTGCTGTCCTTTCAGAGAAACTTGAAATAAACTTAGTAGGTATAGTCGATAATTTGATTGAATTTGGCATTCATATCATTTTCAGAATCTTAAAAAGACTAATCAACATTTTTTGGACTATCAAATGGACGTGCTTTTCCTACTGTAGTTGTAGGTCACACGGTAAACAAGCAGGAAGCTACGTTGATTCTTGTCTAGCTCAACTTTAAACTTCACATTTATAGCTACATGGTTAGATTTAGATATACATACAATTTTTGTAATTAAAGATTATGAATTAAAAATGACCTCTAATAATTAAATAAAATTGTTTTTTAGCCAGTACTTTTTTTTAAATTAATTGTTAAAGATACGTTCCGAGCTCACGAAGATTTTCCGAACTTAACCGAAGTGGTTGTTTCATGCATTTCATCATAGGAGAGCCGCTGATTTCGATGCAGGTGCTTTGGGGTGGTTTCGAATGGACTAAAAATAGAAGAAAATGATTTGTTATTAGATTTTTTGATCCATCCGGAACCACCCCAAAGCACCTGCACAAAAAACAGGGCTTTCCAACGACCAAAGTCATGAAACGACCCTCTCGTTCAAGTTCGGAAAATCTTCGTGATGGGCTCGGAACGCAACTTTAACAATTTATTTAAAAAAAAAGTACTGACTAAAAAACAATTTTCTTTAATTAGAGGTCATTTTTAGATCATAATCTTTAATTAAAAAAATTATCATGGTGGGTTGCCATTTAAAAAAAAATAAAAATTTCTAGAACTCGAAAATTAAAAGAAATTTCGAAAAATGTTATTCTTGGTAAATGGTCACATTTTAATTGTACTTTACGCTACACTAATTATTTTTTTTTGTAAAGTGCTTAGTTTACGAAAAAAACGCTTGGTTCCATACTTTTTATTCACCTGGTAATTTTACTGGCGTTACTTCTAGTAAGTTCTCATTTATGTTGGTAAAAACGTTGTCTATGTCGTTGTTTAGTCTAGTATGTAAATCAACTATCTGTCTTAAACCAAAGTTTGACATCAAGTTTTTGCATTTTGTTCACTATAAATAACAAATGGCATCAAATGATTCCCTCGTGTATTTTTTTGAAACGTTATTAATAATTATTATCCCATGATTTCACGTTTACTTCAAAGTAAACAGCTAATTACGAAACAACAAGTGGCACTTGTCTTTTATACTTTAATTTTATATTTTTGTAAAACTGTTAGGTACTATCTTTTTAATCAAGGTGCTTCAGTTATTCAATTTATCTAATCAGTCAAGTTTTTTATTTTTAATTGATTCATCCTGGGGTTGTACTTACTACTCTGTAAAAAAAGTATCGGGAATTTTCGATTTAAAAAGTTTATGTAGAAGATATATTAATAATTCTTGTCTGGTATATTGGTACAACCATACTCTCTGACCAAGCCATGCGCGAAAAGTTGTTTCTCGCACTTGGTTCGTAAATTACTATTCGAGTTTTTTTGGCTTTGAATTTTTCAAAATATTTTGTAATTTTGTGTTGCCAACGAAAAATTCGTGTAGTGACTCTTTGAAAATTCTGCAAAAAACCTTTGAGGACTCATGTATGTCAAAAACACAAGCATATGAGTGGTACAAAACATTTCAATTTTCAATTGGACTAAAAAGAAGTCACCGACATTCCTCGTTCTGAACGATCGTCAACAACAAAAACAGAAGAAAATGTAAAGAAAATCAAAGAAATGATGACTGTAAATCATCATTTAGTTTTAAGAGTAATATAATTCAGCCGTTGTGAAATGTGTGTAAAAAATATTCTCTGGAAAAGACCAGATTTGTGGAAAGACAACTCTGGCATTTTGCACCATGACAGTGCAAATTAAAAAAATGTCATCAATCACGCACCGTATTCAGCTATCATGGCCTTATGTGAGATTTTACGTTTCTCAAACTTAAATTGCTTCGCGAGGAAGGCGTTTTGAGTTCGCTCCGTATTATTTACTATTGGTAACAGTCAATTTTGTTAATAATAATAATTAATAATTATTACTAACCTAATGCGCGAAAAGTGTCTTTTCGCACTTGGTTCGTAAATGACTATTCGAATTTTTTTTGACTTCAAATTTTTCAAAATACATATAATAAAAAAGCACATATTTGTTACGTTTATTTTTATTTTAATACAACCAAATTATAAATCTAACTCGAATTTCTCAAACTGTGCTAGTTTGATTAGGCCACCACACTTTTAATCCAATCATAGTACTTAGCAGTCCTCGTATAACCCGAAGGATGGTTTGTTTCACACCCACTTGCACTTGCCCAACTTACAATACCTACATGAACTGCTTTATCTCCACTTCCGGTCACCAAAGGACCTCCACTGTCTCCCTACGAAGAAAAAATAATAATTTCAAAATAATGCAAAAGTGACAACTCACGTTACAAGTCCCTTCATTCGTCTCACCAACTGTACAAACCATACCATCAGTGATGGTTTGCTCGCCGTAAATGGCCTTACATTCGTCGTTGGTGATGGTTTTCAAACCGACAAAATTGAGTTCGTTGACAACACCATCCCCTTTTAATAAAAACAATAAGTTAGTCTTTCTGGCGTCACCAACGTTCAAAACTTACAGTCACCAGAAGCCCCCCATCCACTCACTGTAACCGGTTCAGCGCCCCCTATGTCACTTGTAGCAAGAGGAATGACTTGAATATGATCTAAAAACAAGAATCAGAATGTTCAAAAATTTGCTATTTTTTACCATTGGTTTCGTATGCTGTGTCAATTCTGATAAGTCCAATGTCGTTCTCCAAATCTGAAGGTTTATAATCTGGGTGAGCTACCGAATGACTCGCCCCTAAAGTCACTCTATTTGGGTCAGCATCAACCAAGGTGTTTGACCCCAGATGAAGTGTGAATGCTGTTGCGCTGAAATTTCACATTAGTATTTTTTAATTTTTGGAAAAAGTCTTACTGATAGACGCAATGTCCGGCCGTTAGGACCCATTTGGTATCAATTAAAGCCCCCCCACAGAAAAATGAGCCGTTACTGGTGTCAAAATACACAGCTACTTGCCATGGAAATTGCCCATCTTGGGCAACATCACCACCAATTATGCGACCACCGAAGTGTTTTTTAATTGGAATTGCTTTTCTCTGAAATTTTTTCTAAAGTTGTGATTCCAAATTTCAAAAATTTTTACCTCTGAAACGAGGGGCACAGCCCAAATTGTGGCCACACACAAACAAAAGATGAACAACTTCATTTTGACAAATTCATGATTGTTGTTTTCCTTTATATAGGTTTAAAATTATCTCCAATCTCTAAAATACGTGAAAAAATTATTGAGTGGCTTTATCTGATGTCCTAATTCTTTAAGTGGTTGTTTGTCACAACAATAATATTTTTAGATTCAGTTTATTTTTATTTAAATCATTAGAGAGTTAATAGATTTGCACTAAAATGTTTATTTTGACTGAAACACACGTACTTGAGCTTCTAAAAAAATTCATTTTTAAAAAATGTAATTAAAACTTTTTTTTAATTTCCGATTTGATAAAAGATATAAATAAGTGTGATTAAGTGAACACTTTAAAAATGTATTTTTAAATGAATGATTGATTGATTTGGCTCATATCCTGTTTTTAATTAACTGTTTATAAATCATCTAACCACTACTCAATAAAGGTCAAAATGCATTAAAAACATTTATTCTCAATCTTATTTACATGATTTGTTGAATTAGTTTAGCTTGAATGATCTTGGGTAGGTTTTTCTACCAAATAGCGCATAACAACGAAGCACCGGGTGAAAAAACCTGAAACGAAAGACAAACAATTGCTAAGTGGCTAGAGCGTTTACAACATGAAGCCACTCGTTGGTCTCAAGAGCTACAACCTCAGAGCTATTAAATACGATTAAAAATCCTTCTTCTTCTTCTTGGATCTTCTTGGCATGGAAACGATGAACAAAAACACGATTACCCTATCACACCAAACTTTTATTTAAAAACACAACGCGTTTCAACCACAAAGTGGTCATCCTCAGGTGAGAATAAAACTAACTAATTTAACAATGGTAATGCCTTATATACTAATTTTTTTTTATTATCAGCGGGTTAACCACCTAATTAGCAATGGTTCTTACAAAACGATTTCGAAAAACCCTTTGCCGAAAATGATTAGAGAAGTCAGCAACACTTTGAAAACTTGCAACAACCTTATCACTCCTAAGCTTAAAAAAAATTGCATGTTTCTAACCCAATTGTTCCTAAACTGTACTGTCTTCCTAAAATTCACAAACCTGGAAAGTCAGTCCGTCCAATTGTTTCAGCAATTGACGCTCCAACTCCAAAGGTTTCAAAATGGTTAACTAACGAATTCAATAACTTACCACTTCAGCAGCCTAGTTTTTCAGTTAAAAATTCTTTAGAATTTATAAATAAGGTCAAAAATATTATACTGCATGAAAATGAGTTATTAGTTTCGTTTGATGTTAGCTCTCTTTTTCCAAGTGTTCCGATTCCACAAACTTTAAGCTACTTAAAAGACTTGTTGCTCCAAAACAATTTGGATCAGCAAGTTATCAACGAATATATTCGACTCASAYKWTT